GTAGGAGCCGGGCCGGTGGCAGCCCACCCTCCCCCCTCGGGAAGGTTTGTGCGAAGGCAGCTTGGGCGGGAGGTGAGGTGTGGCCAAAGCCGGCCCCTCAGGGCTGCGGGGAACGGGGCGGGACGGTGGTTCCGCTCTGGCGGGCTGGGGGAAGGGGACTGTAATGTCTTTTGCGTGATGGCGGATGGTAGATTTTGCCGAAGAAGCCCCCTGCGCCCACCGGAGAGGGTGGTAATGAGATTCATGTGGTAAAAGAGTTTCCTCGTTTCAGGGGAGCGAGGCCTGAGCGCTTGGGCTGGGAAGTTTAAGAAACGGCAGTGCGAAGCTTCCCTATGGCCTGCGTTTGCTGTGGCTGGGGGGGGACCTCGGCCCCGGGCTGCCTCGGACCCGCGGCGGGAAAGGTCGGTATTGCCAAGAAGGGAATGGCTTAATTCCTGGTTGGAAGATGGTTTTTGTTGGTTCGAAATCATAGCAACTAAAATGGAAACTAATAGTTAGGTTGTGTCATCCTCCCACTTCAGCCGAGGCTGGATTGCTCCCCTCTGTCTATTTTGTCTAAAGTGTCATTTGTCCAGTAAAAATTTAACAACGTAAGCCATGGGGCTCCTGGCAGTGCTGCCACTAAGCTATTGCTCGCTGGATTCCTGAGCGAGCAAAATGTATCGGTAGCACTTCTTGGCAGAACCGAGGCCCACGTAAGAAATATCTTGGTAATGGGAAGTGTAAGGAGTATAAACGAGAGTTCACATTTTATAAACTAGTTACTGGAAAATTAACATTTATTCTTCTTTTCCTCCTTGACTTTAACCCACTTCCATTTTGTGTGTGTAACACTGGTGCTTAATTATAGTGACACCCGTTTGCAGTAACCAGACTGTATCACAGGGTCCCTATGGGGTCCTTCTAATGCCAGTGTAATATTAAAGTGTCAGGCAGGCGGCCTGTGTATTATAAATAGGGTACTTCATCCATGATAAGCGATTATTATCTTTCTTTCCCAAGTGTAAAAGACCTATATAACTCAAGAAGGTGCGAGTGATTTAGGCCTCCTGAGTAAAAATCCAATGAGTCCTGAAGGGGACCCTATGATGTCGTTGTCTTGTTGCTGAACTTGAGATATTCAATTTATTATACTAGAATATATTTTCTGAAGTCAGCATTGGGTAAAATAATACGAGAGGCTGCTAGACCAACAGTACAACACGATTTAGTGTCCCTCTGTGATGGCCTTCTAAAAACCTTAATCACCCTTGGTAAAAGCAGAAAACTGCTGTTAAAGTTTACTGGCCATTGGTGAGCAAACAGTATTAGTTACTGCTTTGAATCGTTCTAATAATTTAGAAAAAATGTTGTATCTTTTTCCATTCATGTACAATTATATGGGTGGTACTTAAAAGGACTCCGTTGTGCAGAGTTTTATGCCCATTCTTAGCTTCAGACTTACTTATTTCTATTAATTATTTTAGATAACTCTTAAAAGTAGAATTGTCTGCTTAACTTCACATACTTCAAGGATTAAGGGTTACAATTTTGACCAATTTTACTATTAGCCATACGTTTTATTGAGTTCTAACTGTAAAAACAGAAAACAAAAGGCCATTCTGGTATGGTTTGGCACCAGAAAAAAGCATGTAATCAATTTAATGATTATTATATCGCTTTTTTAACACTGAATGTTATATGGTGCTTATGATATTACACAGCGTCTCTGCTGAAGCTGTGTAAAGCTACTCAGTTTTCCACCTAAATCAGTTTTGGAAAAATGAAAGTCAACTTTTGAGTGAGGGAGAAAATCCCAACAAATACGCAGTTCAATATAAACATGTTCCCATGTAGTTTTCACTGGAGGACAGGGTGCTTTTACTCTGCTGTTATATATAAAATAATAGGGGACCCCACGTGATGTGATCATGCAGCCACAGAGCTCTCGCCAATGACATAAGCACTGCATCCCTTTTTGTTAATATTTACTTTGTTATTGTTGTTTGGTGAAAAAGTCTTTCAGATGATTCTGCTCCTCTCACATCTGCAGCCATGTTTCAATTGGCATATTTTCCCTAAAAACACTCCACCTTTGCTACTGCTAGTGAACTGTAGCAACTATGAGAGTGACACTGGGAGCAAAACAGTGGTAGGTATGCTATATTCATTAATTTACCATTGTGACAAATCATGCTAGGCATAGACAGTGGTAGTGAAGTCATCAGAACCAACAAGTGCACTTCTGTACAAATTCTCTCATTATTTGTGTCATTGGGAGAATTTTGCTAAAGTGGCAAGAGTAGAAATGCTAGTGGACATGTCTAGTAAGGACAAGTCCTAGTGATTTATTTCTAAACATGGATAGCTATTGTTTGTATCGCAGATAACTTGAAAATTTGTTTTTATGCTTTCAAATAACATAGCTATACGATCATTGTGAGATCAAATGTCTGAAATTAAAATAAAATACAATAAAATGAAACTTTTTACTGCCAAGAAAGAATAAATTGTGAACAATAAGTAGAGCTCAAGCTAATTTTTTTTGCAGATCTTGTGGTGCTTACCCACAAGCGTAGGTAAGTATTCCCATCCCAGATTTAGAGAATGGAAAACATATGACCTAGATCTTAGGATAATTTGTGCTAGTCTGTGTTTCAGAGAACAAAGCAGAGACATTATTAAACAGGCAAGAGAATAACAAATTCTAACTAATTGTATTCTTCACAGAATGGCGAGCAGTCCTGAGAGTAACATGTCCCTCTCCGTTCAGAAACTCACACGCTCAGAAAGTTCCCGGGCGAAGAAGTCCCAGCATGCAGAAGAAGCCATCTTTTACATGAATTGCCGAGCAGCTTATCTAACTGTTTTAAAAAGCAGTTTAGAAAATATTAAGTCAAAAGAACAACTCAGTTTAGGTAATGATTAGGTATTTTGTTCCCCATAACTATTGTGTGTGGTGATTGCAGTGGGTAGTTTACAAACAGCAGTCAGCAATTCGGTAGTGAGAGTATCCCAATGCATAAACTCAGTAACTGTTTTAAGGAGTTTACAGTAATTTTAGATAGGGTTCATATTTCCAGTGTTGGCAGCTGTATCTTTGAAGACATTTTCATCATTTACCTGCTATAAAATATGTCACATAGTGATTTTTCGAAGTTTATAGAAACTACCATTCCTCAATGTTCTCCATTTTCCTCAAATCCTTAATCTTTGTTGCTAGGTGCTGGATGACTTGTGGAAGTGGGAATAGTGTACAGAGCTTTTTATCTGTAAATCACCAGTATGAATGGGCAAAAGTCAATACCGGCTGACAGCTTACAGGGCACCTAAGTGAGTTGTTGAACAACACTAAATTTGATGGGTAGCATTGTTGCTTACTTGAGGTGGGCCTAGGTACTTCTTTTTGATTGTGACATTTCTGCAAATTTTTTCCTATCCCTGACAAACAATTAAGTGAGTTAGTCTCAGTTCAGTTTATAGTGGGCAATTGCCTTGGCACAGAGAAACTCCATGATAACTGGCATTAATTGACACAGAGGTTTGCAGACTCATAGGCGAGGTTGTTACTGGAGGCATGGATATGGTAATTTACCCCTAAAATAATAGGTGACAATACTGCCTTTACCAACTTTATGTGATCGGAAGGACTGTTTTGAACACTGGTGTTTCATAAGAATTCTTACTCCAATTTGAACTCCTACTGAATTACAGTGTTCCCATAGGCTAAAATAAAAATTTTCATTTTTTTCTTCTGTATTATATTTGTGTATAAGTGGTATTGCTGTCAGCGATACAACAGGAAAAAGAGATATCTCTGAATGCTTCAGCTGTCAGTAGATACCGAAAGCTGTGAAGCTTAATAAAATTTGTTTTGAAAACCTGTGGAATTTCAAAAAGCTCCTTGCATGGAATTATTAGGAGAGTTACAAAAGTTTACCTGAAAAATGGTAGTTAGGACTGTGTATTGGAAATAGAGTACTTTATAATGTATCTTAGTGGCTGAGTAAGATAAGGAAGAAGATAAGACAAGACTGAGTAATAACCTGTTTTAGTTGTGGAATAGGTTTCACTATCCCAGATAAAATTTCTCAAGCAAATATAATATCAACTTCGCCATCTCTTGGAGTTGTAGGATTGTGTACTATGCCTTCCCATGCTTGGGGTTTGTTTTTTGGGGGGGGTGTTTTTTTGTGGGGGTGTTTCCCCCCCCCTTTTTTTTTTCTTAGAGCATTTTTGTCCTTTCGTAAAAAAGTTGTATGGTTTCGTGGTTGCATGTAATAGCAAGGATTGTCTTAGGGAACCTGTGAAAGCGTCTTTCAGTCCTCTTTTTTTACCTGGAGTTTTGTGATTATGTGAAAATCTTAGCTTGCTTTAATGGAACAAATGTTTCCAGTTCACATGGTTAACAGAGCAAGCATGAGAACATAAACCTTCAGTTAGATAAAAATAATCAAAATGTATAATTGAAAAAGTAATGTTTTCTATTTTGTGGGTTTTAGAGTATAGCTCAGAATGCACTTGGGATTGGTGGTATTACAGGTTGCTCTCTCAAGATTCATGGATTATGATGCCAGCAAAAGATATGTGTACTATGGTATTGCAGTTGTTTGTAATAAAAAAAACAAACAACAGCTGAAGGCAAAAACATGCTGTGCTATCAAATAATTTAGTTATAACTCTAGGGACCTTATTTTTGTCTGCATATGTGAAGAAATATATTTCTCACTAATGGCTGCATTGCCTGTGCCTAAAATACATGAGATGTCCACGTGGAATCCACCACTAGAAAAGCTGAGTGTGCTTCACTGGTGCACTGATTTTAGCTTCTTTCCCTGTATCAGTACATGAAGTTCTACCCATTAGCAAGCGCATTCTTTCAGCATGTGACTTAGTGTTATCCAGGCTTTCTCAGCTGTAATAAAAGTGCTTTTATAACATCCTAATGAAGATTTTGGATAATCTGGATTTTAAGATAGGAGTGGTGCGAACACATGTCATCTCTTTTATAGATGCTTTGGCTTTCATCTCTATCCATAAGCCAGTTTGCTAAGTAGCAGTGTTTGTGCATTTTGGTTTCAAGGTCAGCTCTCTAAGGGCAGTTAGTAGCTCAGCCTACCAGTCTGTTCAGAGATCTTTAAGAACATCTTTTAAAACTTGTAAACATTGAAAGTTATTATAGTCTTATGTTGCATCTTAAGTAAATTCTGGCATTTATCAAATGAGAGGGGCCAGTGTTTAAGCATCTATTGCTACATGACGTTTGGCTAATATTATAAACGGTCAAATATTCACTTAGAGATTGGCCCTACAAAATTATATTTGTAGGAATTTTACTTATTTATAGGCAGTAGCTTCATTTCCTGTGTTGTACTATTACTTAAGGTATTTAGCAGAATCAATCTGTAAAGAAGTATAAATAAAAACATGCAGTCTAATTGAACTTTCAAAAATAGAAATGCGGGAGGCATGTAGGCTATGGCAAGGTCTGATCTCCCTGGATATATAAAAATATAGAATTGTATATTTGAAGGATATTCTGTTAAATGTAAGTGAATATTGTGCTGTGTTGACATTCCAGGGAACTCGGCTGTCCATGTAAACAAACACAAAGTAACTGCCCTTCCTTGGCTGACCTTGTCACTGAAGTCCTTGAACAATTGCTATGTGCCCAAGCGTTGCATGGGTAAAGATGTAAGCTTTGCTGTATTCTCCTCACGCTGCTTGTAGAGGGGACAGGGCAGAAATCTTTATTTAGTCCTTGGCATTCAGTCGGAGATTAGCAACAAAGGTGTCTGGTTTTGTTTGTTTGTTTGTTTTTATGGTGACATGGTTGCCTGCTGAGAATTGTAATGATGCCACCACCTCGTTTCACAGATGCTGCTGAACTGCTCTCAGCTGGTATACTTGGTCACTGGTCAGCTGGCTAAAAATCAAGCTGCCAGCCTAGCTAGAGATGAAGGATCTCTTGTATTTTTCTAAAAAACTTTATATGGAAGATATAAAAGCATCTTTCCAGCTTCAGATAGACTGCATTTGAATTTAATTTCAATTTAACATAATACCTTCTTCACACTGGAAACTGATGAAAGGATGTTTTCAGTAAAGACTTCTAAGAAGGTAACTAGATCCAGCAAATTAATTTTGAAGAATGGCAGGTGTAGAAGCAGTAGGACTAGTTGCATGTATGGTATTGGCTGTTGGCCATAGCAATGTATGTCTGTTGGTATCATATTTCCTTTACATTTGGAACTGATGTTGCATAATTTGAATTGATAAGTTCCAATGTATAGAAGTGACATGAAAGATTGTTCAAGATCTATTCTACCGTAGATCTCAGTTCTTTGCTAAGTAAATGGAAAGACTTGTGTAGATCTTGGTAGAAATAGGATCTAATAATGTACAAGCTTACAAATAGTAGGTGCTTGATATTAAGGTGGGGGATACAGACATTGGGCTGAATTTTACACTTGTCACTTGAGGAGACTGTCTTTGAATTCATGGATATTTTGCTTAATTAATGATTAATGATTTGATTTTAATGATTAAGGGAGAGTTCAAACTCCCATTGAGTTTAGTAGAACAGTGCACATGAGTAAGTGGAGGCTGCAGATGTGAGCCTTTAAGCAAAATATTACCTGTGATATTGCTGTGTTAGAAACCAGAGAGCAGTCTGTGACTTTTCTGTAGAAGAAAGTGGGTGTGATTGCATATGCAGTGCGGCATATGTCATCTCTGTGCTGGATTATAGTTAGTGAGGGATGATCTAGGATGCCAGGCACTGCCTGTTTCATGACTCCTTTCAAAAGAGTATGTGAGTGAGCTCATCTGCCCTTCAGGCTGCTTGAACCTCTCTGGTACGAACCGCAGAACTCAAGGCTGGGGAAGGTCACAATCAGTCTGTATCAGTAGAGGATTGAGACTATAAGCAAAATTGTCCTTCAGACCTGCTTTTCCCTTGGGTTGATTTGGCTTAAAAAAAAAAAAAAGAGTCTGAACATGAAAAGTGATTAAAGGATGTTTTGAGAAAAGTCCTTTGCTGACAGCTGGAATATATATATTTAATATTGTGTTTTATTGTTTAGTACTTCAACAGGCTGGAAGAAATCCATCTCAGAAGACGGTTAATAAATATTGGACTTCACAAACGACTACACTGAATTTTGATGATTTTTGTACTATTTTAAAAAAAGAAAAACCAGCTACAAAAACTGAGTTGCTCGAAGCATTTGGAAAAATAGACACCGATAACACTGGATATATATTGCATGATGAACTTTACAAAATTCTTACAACAGTAAGTATCAGTAGAAACTTAATTATCCATCTTTAAACATCAGTAGAGATTTTGGAAATTATTCTGAATGTGTAAAAGCCACATGATAACTGATTTGTGTATTTTTTTTTTCAATTTTATGTCTAGTTTTCTGTGGTTATTGATAATCTTTCTTCCATTTTTTCCCCCTTATAGTCTTGCAATTGATAACTTGTCAGTCTCTTTCGGCAATCGTGCCTTGAAGGTGGAAGCTGGCAGAGAAAATATTTTTAATACTTTCAAAGAATGTTTTGTTGAAACACTATCTGTACTGCAGTGGAGCAACAGAAGGGGAAGCACGTGTCTCTCCCTTGGTTCAGTTAGTGCAAATCTCTCTATTCTCTACAGGGCCCCTCTGCAGCCCTTTGGGGTTACGAATTTCTACCAAGAGAGTTAATGACATACCCTTGCTGTTCTCCCCTCACAAGTTGTCTATGTGTGTTCAGATACAAAGTTAAAATACAACGTTTATCCATAATATCCAAAATATCATCATTGGTGTTTTAGTTTTATCACAGCTATGATGTTCTCTCTTGACAGCAATTTCACTGGCTCTTATGTTTAGTTCATTGGGGTCTTAAGATAAGCTGTGCTAGGGTAGGTCAATACTTTGGTTAGAGATTATGTGTTATTAACCCAAAGTATGCAAATGTCATAAGGCTTACCTGTACACATCATTGATATGGCTTAAAATGATGACATTTAAAAAATATCTGCAACTTCTTATTTAGCTGCTGAACTGCCACCATATTTTAAGGCTTCATCTGAAAGGATAGAAAAGAATTTAAAAAAAAATAGCAGCTGAGGTTTTTATGATATTATGAGATTGTAGGAGATGGAACTCGAAAGAAAACATTAGCAAGAGTATGTTAGAGTGATGAGTGTTGACAAGATTAAAATGCAGGTCCTCTGAGGATCTGCAAAGCAAGCAAGCAAACCCCCTGAAACAAAACAGTCATCCAAGTTGGTATAGAGCTGATGCTCTGACTTTAAACTGCATGGATGTACATCATAGATGAGTACAATGATTTTCTTTCTCTGTTCTGTCAATTTTTTTGCTTTGTACAGCCAAAAAACTTCCTGCACTGTGAAAGCCAATCATCCTGCACAGCACAAACACTAGGGAGCAGTGACAATTAAAAATGGACTAGTAGTAGAATTCTAGTAGAGTGCTCAAAAGTGAGAATAAAACAACTTTAAGGAAATGCAGAGGAGAGCAAACTGGGATAGAAGGACTGAACATTTTACCTACTGTATTTGTTGTGGTTGACACAATAAAAATTACTTGTTTACTGCAAACGTTGTGGCAGAACCTTCAATCCTCATTTTACATGAAAATACGGTTGCAATGGTACGGAAATAGTCTTTATATAACAGAAGATAGAAGTAACAGATGTTGAGTGCTACTGTAGTTGTGCCATGAAGAGCTATAAACGGTACTGTTACATAAAGTCAGGGCATTGCATTATACAGACCCAGACTGAAGAACTTGCTAGATGTACCTGCAGTAGCAACTAGTGCTGCTCAAAGAGGGGAGGATCTGGATTTGATTTGTTGCAATCCACGATGGCTCTGGGACCATATGTGCACATCACATGTTTACCAACAATGAAGTTCACCTTAGTTTTCAGTCTAAAGTTTACACCATGCATTTATAGCTGAAAAATGGTATGAAGCAGATTTCTGTGCAGCAATCATATCTTGCTCTGTCATTGCTAAGAGCCCTGTGCATCTGTAGAGGGAATTGCTGAAAGACATACTTTCTTCCTGAGAGATGTACCTTATGCCCACATTGCAAGTGGGGCACTCGAGATGGTGTTCTGACATGCAGTTCAGACTTGGCTCCAAAAGGGGAGAAATTGCTTGGGCTTCACACTAATGATTCCAGGTACAGAGAGATGCGTGGCAAATTCGTGCCTGGAGTAATCCTTCCAGTGAACTAAACTGCAGAGGTAGATTGGCCCGCTGTAGGGATAATAGGATAGCTCATGTAAACAAGTGAAACTAACTGTTGCAAAGTTAGTTTTTGGTTGTTGGCAGCCTACAGTGTAAGTAAAAACGACTGAGAGTTGGGATTCCCCACTTAATGGAAGATTTTTCTGAAATTGATGCAACCGTCATGCATGGTAGGTGACACCACAAAATGGCATAAACTGATGCAATTCATCTGTTCAGTATTTAGTAGCATTGTAGGGATGTAATTTTTTACAATGTTGACCTCTATTTTGATGATTCAAATCAAAATCCATTTAAATCTATTTGCAAGATAAGATTCCCTGAGAGGACAGTAAAAGAATCTTTGAGTTTTTATTAAATGTGCGCTGTAGGTGAACAGCATGCTTGGTTAGGAGCCCAAACAGAGTTATTTTTCATTGCAGAGAGGCGAAAAAATGACTCGGGATGAAGTGAGTGCCATTATTAAACAAGCTGATTTTAACTGCAGTGACAAACTTGACTACAACAAGGTATGGCAAACAGAGTGATATTATTTGTTCTTGTGTTACTGGCTTGATGTTATTGACAGTATTGGCATTATCAAATGCAACACATAGCATCTTCATGTGTTGGTCCATTGATGACCTTACCCCAGCCCCCTCTAACTGTGTACTGGAACATGGGCTGGTATATATTTCTGTTTCCTACACTGTATCTCACAACACACTGCCCTGGCTATTATCCTTGAAAAGGTCACTTGCTACAAGTCAACTTCATGTATTAGCGCAAAACTTAATAGCATGTGTGAAGATAAGAGTTAAGGGAATGGCAGGATAAAGATGACAATTGACAGCAAACTTAGCTAATCAGTGAGAGTTGCTATGCCTGTGACATTTCCTAATTTCTTTTCTGGGGCACATTACAGGATATGCTGAACATCTAATTTTGAAGATGCAACATCTTATCAGTTTTTCTGACATCATCTTGAAGCAATAACTAAGTTTTCAACCGAACAAACAGTCCACAAAGTTTTGTACGCAAATATAGTTTCATAGGAGGAAAAACAATCCACTATTAAAAATCACACATAAAAAAAAAAAATCAGTCTTCAAATATCTAGAAATAAATATAAATCACCCCTTGGGTTGAAAGTTGCACTTAATTTTCTTTCAGTATTTGGACCTCCTGGCTCCATTTTACTGTGTCACTTGAGTGGTCACTCTGATTCATGAAAATTAATATTAATATTGAGCTTTAAGAAAAAATGCATTACATGTGTTGACCTGTCCTTTCCTTGCTAATATTACATTTTAATCTTCATCTCAAGTTTTGTGACTTATACATGACAACCAGTGAGAAATGCTGCAAGACTGCAAGAGAGAAACTGGAAGTTGATAGTCGATTGAGACAACAGCAGTTTGGAAGTCAAGCTGAAACTTCCTCTGAAGGGATCACACTGCCAGTGTCAAAAGTACCACCAAGAGTCTCGAGGAAAACTGATCACAAAGTAGCACCAAGAGGTATTTGTATTTCATATTGGGAGTTTTCATTCTGTTGGAGATCATGCTCTGGGTCAATGAACAGCTGAGTATTTGTTTATTTTTTCTCAGATTAGTGAGGATGTTATTGACTAATACTCATTTCTACTGTAGCAATTGCATAAATGTTTCAGTAGGATATCTGACCCCCATTTCAAATAGACTTCGGCTGCATCCATGATCTGAAGCTCTCGAATTCCTAAGAGTGCATTTTGTTGACTCTCTTGTGACACAGTCCAGAGGGAAGAGAGAAAATGAATGCTCAGATGTTGCAATATAGGAAGTAATTTATTTCCTTCCCAGATCAGAGATGAAACCTTAAACATTTATCAATAAGCAGTCTGTTTGTTTCAATTATCAAGGCTACTTTTCAAGCACAATCAATATGAGAGTTTAATGTTCTTCCTGAAGTTACAAAGATACTTAAAAACCTTCCCAACCTGGAAAAAGACCACAGGCTAACAGACTGCCAAGGTACCATGTATGAAATACTTGCATGTAGTGTCCGCTGTTTACTTTAACTTGCTTCAATTCTAGGCAATACTGAAGAGGCGCAGAGGTCACAGAACAGTGATGAAGACTGAGTTTATGTAGCTAAATCAACAGTCATACTAGCAGAGTTGCCCCAATGTAAGGAACCAGAAAGTAAAGGCTTGGAGGAGATTGCACTGGGCAGCTGTGCATAAGTGATGTGCTATCTGGCAGGGAAATGACATTGTCATGAAAAGAAATAACTTTAAATTAGAAGCAGGTTAAACCTATCCACTTAAGACAGATTTACCTTGATTCAAAAGTAAATGGAATTATGTGGTAACAATTTCTTGTCCTTCAGGCAGATTTGGTTCCAAGATTCTGCCATTCGTATGCCCATTCACCTGGGATGTACAGTCAGGGAAGTAAAGATGTTTGGCTAATGAATTATTAAATGTTACATAATTATAAGGGAAGTCAGCTTATCAGATTGAAGTTCTTGTCATACAGTTTTTCTCTGTGTGCCTATAAATGAAATAATGTAATTGTAACTAAGTATCTATGTCTATAGGTGATAGCAGAACTCCTTCAAGACCCTCGTCAGCTCAAAGTTGCAAAGCATCCATTTCTACCACTATCAGCATGGGTGCCAGTAGCAACAGAAACACAAAGCTAATTGAGCCAGACACAATGAAGGTATCATGTAAGCTAGTCCTATTGAAATTATGCTGTTTTCCTCTAGGCACATATGTTATTGCATTTTAAATAAGAAACCGTTTTTCTCTGATTTTTAGCTTATGTTTTATTAATAGTTTGTCAAGGGCAGATATAAACTACCGAGAGGTTTCTTGATGCATATTATTATTAACATTTTTATATACTGTTGGTTTTGCTGACATCTCGTTATTGAAAATAATTTTTCAGGTGTGAAGGTTTAATAGAACAAAGTGTGTTTTTTATAAATGAAACCACTGTTGGATAAAACGTTTAATGACTTTTTGAGAAATTTAAAATTTAATAATTTATTAGGTTGGCAAGAACCTTAAATGCTTAAGTAGTCTGAAAGATTGTGTATCATAAACCTTTATATGAAAGGTAATTGGAAATAAATAACAGATCTGTAAGCATATTCAGTTTGTTGGGCATTACTTTGTAAATATACGCTGTAGCCTGAAAATATTGATTTTTAGTTAGACTAATATGTTCTATCAGTATTTTCTTTTAAATAAATCACTCATTCAATATAAATTCCTGTGGGAGAAAGACAACAAAGTCACTTTGCTAAGTCAATATTTGTAGAGTGTTAATATTGATCTTCTTCCTTTGTTTTCCCTTTCTTGACTGAACCTTTACTAGTTTTCTTTCAACAGAAAATAATAGCTGTAAAAATATAAAACATTAACTGGAAACTGCTAGGATACATTAAAAATGTGCACCTTGAGACTCCTGTATAAAAGAGAAAAAATGGTTATGACCACATAGTATAACTGCTGCTAGAAAACTGAACTGATTGTTCTCATGAGTTACATTTTTGTTTCAAATAACAACTCTGTATTTGTTATTGAACTCTGAAGTCCTTTATATCTTCGACATTGCTATACAGTGACATTTGTTCTATATTAAAATTTAAAAACATAATCTCAAAGGAATTTTTTGCAGTCTGTTTAGGTATCTGGACCTCCATGCAATTTAACCTGCAATTTCACCTTGTTCAAACTGATATGTAGTATATAAAACCATCGCACAGTTTCCCAATATTGGATTCCTCTTCCATTGTACAAGCTAGTAAGAACTGACTGAAAAAAAGCAGCTGCAGATATCGATTACTATTGATTAGCATTATACAAAAACTGAAATCAGTCAATAAATATGAAAAGGTGTAAGTAGAACTACTTTTTTTTGTTTTAACCCTAAACTATTAAGGGCACAATACAAACTCTGTCAAAACCAATGAATGAATACACAGTGATTCATTTGTGGTGCGGATCAGAATCTAGCACCCAAAAATTCTTTTTATTTATCTTATATTCAGAAATATATATATTTTTTTTCTGCACCTGTTCACATGTCCTTTTGGGACAGTAAGAAAGTGTTGACATCATGAAGGTGGACCAATGCCAACTTTACATTTCTGATAGAAGAAAACAGTGGAAGTGAAAACACGATGAACATCTAAATTTAAAAAAAAAATTAGAAAGCATGGAACGTATTCATAGTATATTCTTTCATGTGCTTTCTTTTTGTTAGTGGAGTTTTGTAACATTGTTCAAAGCCATGTAAATAACTTTGGGGAGAAAAAAGAAAGACAGTTATGCAAGTGCTACAGATGTGCATCAACAACATGCTGACCTGTTTGGCTTCATCTGTAGCTGAATCACAGTTAATTAAAAGATGGCTAATGGAGATCTTGAATTTCTGCAAAGTATTCTTTGTGTCGGTTTTAGTCAAGATTGAAAGACATCAACACAGTAAGCAAGCAGTGTATCGTGTTCTAAAATCTTCTCTCTGCATTGGGTAGCTAAATTATCCCTGTTAAGGATTCTCACCTTTGCATTCACTAACTGAAGTGAATGAAAGACCTGTACACACAGTGGGTAGCAAAAGAAATACCTGAGAAAAGGCTTTTACCTGAAAGAAACAGCTATATGCTCACACTCATATCTGTGAAGTAGCCTCATGCAACTGAACTAGCAAGACTTTCTGTGCATATGGAACAGGTTTATACAAGACAAAGCATTGAACTGAAATTCTTTGATTTAATCATAGGAGCAATTCCTCTTACAAACACAGCTTTTTATTTGCAATTGTGCCTGAGTGTGCCAACAATTTCAATAATAACTTAAATTGTAATAGCAGTGGAATGCATTATTTGGGCAGTGACCAGCACTGGCAGCAGCAGGTAGTCCCTAACATTTCTACATGATTAACATTTCTAATACAAACATTTCCCACTGTTAGCTATTATTTGACAACTGCTGTTATGCTTTGAAGTGAGATACTAAAATCAAACCAGAAAGTTATCTTTTAGTTTCCTAAATTTACATACCTGTTTGTAATTTGGCATGGATAATTCAGAGAATATAGCACCACCTTATGATCTCTGCAAGAATAACAGTTTAGTATTTGTCAATGTATGTTGTCATTTAGTATGTTGTCAAACTTCTGCTTACTGTTGCTGACATCTTAACCTGCACATTGTTTCTTGAGATATTTTTACTGCTTTCTTTGACTGTTTGATGTCCCTGTTTTAACAATGTCCATCTGTATGCAAAACTGCAAAAAAGATAGCCTTTCCTCTGAAATAACAGCTAGAAAAATGGAAGGTAAACGAATGGGACAAAGCTACTCTCCATCTGTGAGATGGTGGTTTGAAGACCACTGCCATAGTGGAATAGGACGTGGTTGTTAAAGTAATTTTTGTACATGAAAATTGTCACGGTATTGTTTTGAATAGTTATAACACATTCGGACTGCTGTTGAAACTTATATTACGCACTTTTATGTCTCAAAGAACAGCCATGTTGCTTCATTACCAGACCCTTTGACTTTGATCTTTTTTGAACTGTCATTAATTTTTCAAACAGTTTTGTAAGATATTAAGCTTAGAGACTAAGTGAGCTCACAACCAGTCACCTCAGCTGTGTCAAGTTTTAAGGAAATATCTCCACTTACTGCATATAGACTTTAGACAAGTTAGGAGTCATGCAAGTATTGGAATAAATAGTTTACTGAGAATGGAATAGTACTAGAATGATTTAAAAAACTAAGCTACATATTCAGATTCTAGCACTGATTTATATTGACTCTAATGTTAATACCAACTCCCATTATCTACTTGTTTGACTGAGAGAACCCTATCTGTTGCTCAGTGTTTAACCCTCACCGTTAAGTCCCAGTAACGTTTTGTCTCTTTTCACTTCTCTGCTAACTATTCTTTGTGATTGGACCCCTTTTGCTTAGCCCATCACTAGAAATGGAGTCTTGTGGATAAAGTTCAGTATAAAATTTTTAGGTGGCCTTGTTAATTAGGTCTACACCACTACATAAAAGGTGGCCAGGGACTGATCTCTGACTCTGTGGACTGAGTATCATAGGCAGCTTCACGCCCTCAAGTCTTAGGCCTAGCACCCTCTTGGGCAGATTTTGTCTGCTTTAAATGGCACTTGGCTTGCTTTTTTTCCTAGAATCCATGTGGTAGTGTTGTGGGTTTAAGAAATTGTATTTTCCAATGCCATTCATAATCTTATGTCTCTCCATCCCAACCAAGAATAGGTGTTACAAGCTGTGGGGAAGGTCATGGCATGGAGTGTGCAAGGTTATAAAACCTGATGGAATTATATTGACCATGTAGGTCACAGGAAGTCAAATTGACAGTTACAGCCATATTCCTTTTTGAAAGTGGTGTCTGAAGTTGAAAAATTCTTTAAACTGCATACACATGTTCTTGAAGAGCACTAGTTGTAGTCATCTGAAACAGAGGCATAGAATAAGCCAACAGCTAAACAGTATAGATGATGGTGTTGAATGCTTCACCTTGCTTCTTGCTGCCTTTTATTTTGCAGTGTAGCTGTAGCTGGTGAGATGATGTCATTGTTTCTGTAACAGCCTGCTGTTCCCTCTGCATCTCTGATGGCAGAGAAGATAGGTTTCCACAAAGGTCAAAGGTTCCGGATCCCACATATTATCTTAACTGGAAAAGATTATGGGAGATTATGGGACAGGAGGGACTTGGATATTAGTTTCCACCACAGATTGGATGTCCCACTTTCTTTTTAGATAGCTTAACTGATCTTTGTCTTTTTGATAGCCTGTGCTCTGAGGAAGTGTGTTTACTTTCTAAAGTCTCTTAGAACTTCCATAGCAAAGTCTTAATTTTCTTTAAAAATCCCAAAGCTCCAGAGAACAGCAGAAAGTGAGTTGCAAAGTATATAATATTTGTACTTAAAAGTACTCCATATTGCCAACTGTATGCAAATACAAATAGCTGAATTTGACATCTAAAATTGGTATGATGCATTATGCTACCAAAACTATCGGTGTACTGAGGATGAAATAACTGTTGCCTTTAGATCAACATCTTGGATGGGACAGGGTAGTCTTACCATAATAGTAAGTAATTTGAGATTAAGAGAGCTTCCAGGTAGATAAAATTTGCAATTCTTAGTATTTATCCACATTGATATTTTGAACATGATGTATTTCTATTCCTGTAGTGTGAAGATTCTTTTCATAGCTGAGTTTGTGCTATTTGGGTGCAACTTATAAGAGTGATTCAGAGGCAGAAAATGAAGTGAGATAGTATTAGATTCTGCAGTCCTTCTATGCCAATACAGGTGGTGAGTTTTCTCAAAGTACATCTCTTTTTGTTTTGATTAATTTATAAAAAGTTCTTAAAGCAGAAAGGAGTATAGTGAAGATGAATTTGGTAACGTTTGAATGAGAAATGCTTAGTATAGAGGAGTTGATCCTGTTCCCACAGAAATCAGTGGCAAAACTGTGGTACAGGACTGAAGGCTCTTAAATCCGTAAGTCCCTGAGTGATCTATATTCTTAAGAAACGTGGAGTTCTGAATAGAGAAATCTAAATTTAGGATCACAGCTGCATGTGTTACCAAGTGTGTTACTTGGCATCCTGGGTGTATGTACACTAGCAAAGTCCAGTTCTTGCCTGACACCTTTAGGTCATTGACTGTAAAGTACCATCAACTGAGCATGAATGCGTTGTAAATAGAACTGATTCTTTAAAAGGAGAAATGAAACGTAGCACTCTGATGAAGACTGTTTGGCCTTAGCTGGAGTTAGTAGCCAGCCTCCTTACTGGCAGCTGCATGCACACCTCCATTTTTTACAGGCTCTCTTCTCAAATGTGTGTTAGCTTAACTGTTACACTGAACACTACGCACAGGTATAGCCACCTGGATACAGCTCTCTGCTGAGTACACGGAAAGATTCCTTCTGCTAGGGTCTGCTCAGAAATACTATCTTCCATTACTTGGAAAATGACTAGAAATCATGGACTTAATCCAGACCAGGGAACGCAAACATGGATTTGACATCTGAATGTCTTCCATTCCTCAAGGCATACAATGTGTCTATAAGGACTTTATTTTTATTTTGCTAAAGCAAAATCATTCAAACTATATTTGAAATTGAAAATTGGGACTTGCTGTTTAAAAAAAAAAAAGACATTTGAAGCATGTAGCAATTTTAGCATCTTGGCAAAATCACGGCTTCTCTAGGAACCATATTATTCAGAAATACAGCATTTTTCAGTTTATGTCTTTCCAGTAGCTTTAACAGAAGTCAAGAACCACCATTTAATCTGACCAGTACTTGTGTTTGTGACTTGTCTGAGAAAATAACTCCTCATTGTTCAGCTAATCAATTCCATTCTTTTTTTCATTGGCATGAACTAATATAGCAAAATTCCAGCCTTTCAGTGTTAAATCACCCAGTTAAGAGAATATAATGAGTTCAGTTTGATTCTTCATGGCAATTCAAATTTAACTTCAGCTATTTGAGCATTGGGGTAATCTGTATGTTTTTCAAGTATTTTCACAAGTGAAGCAATGTTACTAACCCTTCTGCAAAAATTGACTACAAAAAGGACTATTTAAGAAAATTAATTTTAAAAAAGGAGTAAAAGATCAGTGCTGTATCTTGTGGTGTATTTTATGCAGGATTTATTAAATCATCAAATTAATATATTTCAGAGAAGGTGCTTTAATCTTGATCAAAGATCAAGGCAACTTATAATATTTGCTTGGTTTGCAGGAATGGCAACGTGCACAATCCAAAGGATGCTTCTACTTAGAAGAAGATGGTGAAATCATTAGTCACAAGTACAAGTTGCACATACCTCAAAGGTCTACAGTATGTATCACCATCAAGCCTTTAAATGTTCGTCAGGTAGAAGGTAAGTGTATTTTTAGTTCTTTGGAGAATTTTCCTTTATAAAAAATATTTTCTGCTGATACATCTCTCCCCTTCTCACTCGCAGTACTTCGCGATACTGCGATACTTTTCACCACTGACAGAGTCCTATTAAAAATATAACTTAACTTGTCACACCATATTTTCTGCTTAGTCATTTTGTGCTCACTGCTTGGGCAGTGAAGATCAGCTAAGCCCATTATCTTTCTCCCTTGAGTCAGCCAACCTCTTAGATTATTTTTGGCCATAGATTTGTGAATTTTCTTATTACAAAATTAAAATGTTAGCACTGTTTGCAGAATCTCTCTTTAAGTTGTTAATGTACTTTGTGGGAAACAACAATACAAAACTTAGTGAATATTGTATTCGCCACCTCAAATACTTTTGTAAATACTTAAAATAGGTTATAGCTTTTTTTGGCAGTATGTTATTTTAATGTTTTGATTATGAATGTTGTCTGAGGGATTTATAGCTTACTTTGCCTATTTCAATTTTCATCTTAAAGGAGTGAAGCCCAGCATTAGAGCCACCTGTGACTAGCCTTTGTGCTCCTTTTTTCTAAATGCTATTGGCTTTGTTCTCCAGTGATTTACCAAGGAGCTTTATCTAGTTGCCATGTTGGAATAATTTTTTCCCGAAGCAGATTATTTCCTCTCTAATCCTGTGAAACAGGAGCCATTAGATCCCTAAGATGTTTTAGAGTCATCTGGACTGGCTGTTGTGCTACAGGCTGGTAATTGATTCTGATTGAGGTTGGTAATAAAAAATTCACTGCAAATAATTGACAGAAAATATTGATTTTTCCAATTACTACCTGGTTGAAATGGGAAGCTGATCAACAGCCTTCTAATGGTGAGGAAATGTGGTCCAATACTAACAGATTTGAGTAACAATGTCTCAGTGTTGTGCTTTTCTTTTTTCATGTGGCACCCTCTTAAACTGTGCCTTAGAATAGTTATGCTGCAGGATTGTCCAGACATTCTGTGTAACCAAAAGAGTACTTACTTGCCTTTTGTAAAAAAAAAAATTCTACTTTTGCACAACATTATTGTCCTGTATATAGAAAGTCTTTCATTGTTTTGCTGTGGTCTGATTAACTTGAAGACCACTTAATGACTCATTGATAAATTGCCCTCAGGAACTGAGCAGTTACAAGAAATTAGAGATTCAGGTGGCAGCTATTGAACATATGTAAGACGAGGCCTCCATTCCAATCCGACCCAAGGAAAACAAGTCATACATGATGCCATGTAGGGGGTTCTTGCTATTTAAATCTTAAAAATGATTGAAATTTACACTTCTGAGATTTACATCTTTTGGTATCCTAGCTTTTACACATAATCTGGGTTTCCAGTCAAGATGAGTTTACCAGTATTTTACAGAACATGAGAAGAGTAGATGATATAGTTTTGCTAACATCCTTAATTGCAAATATCTAGGAGCCTCAGTATAAGGAAAAGTAGTAAATAATAAAGTTGTACTAATGGTAGAAAACAATGAAAATAGCTTCCTTAACTACCAAAGGTTTTATTATTAGAACTATTAATAGTAATCATTATCTCTAAGAGAATCAAAAGGCTTGGAACATTTTATCTGATTGGCCTAAATAGGAAGGAAATCCTGATAGCATATAATGATCCTTACCCATCTTACATTAACAGGGATCGATATTATAAATACCATGGAAATATCTACTTTAGGGTTCAAAGAAAAACATCTCTGTGCATTTATTAAGCATTTGTGTTGGGAATGTTTTTCTTTTAAGGAAAATTTTGTCACTGGTTGCCAGTGGATACAGCTTTGTATATTCTGAAGGAAAATGAAACCCAAGAAAATCTACAGCTTGTGAGCTTTACTGAACAACAAAACAAAGAGGTTAGATATTTTTGTTGTATTCCTGTTTTAATAGTTATATCTTTAGTGTATGTGTTAATGCTGGATGGGTGAGTTCCCATGTGTTTGGAAGGAATTGAAACTGTACCTAATCAGACTAGAGGAGAGAAGAAACACTTGTTCTGTGCATGTTCCCTTTCAAAATTGACAGAACTTATGCAAGGTAAGATGTAATACTGTCTTAGTTCTGCCCTTTGGATGGGCTGAATTGCAAGCCACTTGTGTAGAAGTTTAATGAAATTCCTGTGAGGACCATATTATTATGTGGTGTGTTGGCAAGTATTGCCAAGTTGCTGGTTATCTGTATAGATGCTCTGTGGAAACTCGCTTGTATTTCTGCACCTTCAAAAACAAAAGTTCAAAGGTAAATTTATTAAAATTTCTCTTAATGTTCTTTCTCCTTGCCATCTATACGATTTTGAACTTCATGGTGCGCAGAATGTTCTTATCCTATGGCAGAGATAAGGGAGGAAAAATGGCAGCATTCAGTTACTTCCCCCTTCCAAGCCACAGGGAACACAGCCTGCTTCTTAAGCCTTAAGTCACTTGTGACTTTTTAAATAGGAAAATTTTGTTGCTAGTTTGAACAAAGCTGATAAATCAGGCAGGAAATTAAAAACTTGGTGGGTTTTGTCAGCCTGCTTCTGGCAGCTTTTGTTTCAAAGTTTAAGTGTGTTACGAATCTGAAAATCATAGGACTGTTATTAGACACTTCTAGTAATGACTGTTGTCCCCTCATCTCTGGTCCTGTATGTTTTTCTAACTGCTGTTAGAACTAAGAGAGTCACTAGTTTCTGTATCTTTAAAATGGTATCACACAGCATCTTGCTGTAGACACATTTTCTTTAAGAAAAGAACCTAGCATTACCAGAGTTTGCAAGTAGTTAATCACTTTTCTTTTATTTCTAGTAATATTTATACAAAAGTATAATTTGAGAAGTAACTTACCAACTTGTCTGTCTTCCTTTAAGAGTAGATGTTTGGATGGAAAGGGGAGCTTGGATCAGGCATTTACTGGCTACTCCCATTCACAACAGGCTGTAGGTTGAAGAAAGTAAAACCACAAATTACTGGAGAAGCAAAACTGGTGTATAGAGGTGAAGATGGAGAGCTGGCTCTGAGCAAAGAGTTCCGGTGAGTCATATTCCCAAATAGGCATGGCAACTATTGCAAAAGTATGTGCTCTCACTAACATCTAGTTTTTAAAAGCTGTATGTTACTAAAATACTGTTTGTACAAAATATTCTCAAATAGACTGAATAGTTATCAACAATGTTATGAGGCAGTAAAGGAAACAGACGTATTTGGAAATAGTTCTGCCTTTTTCATCTTTTAGAGCTGCTTTATTGGATATATTTGAAACAATTGATTTGGATGGAAATGGCCTTCTGAGTTTGGAGGAATACAATTTCTTTGAACTGAGAACTAGTGGTGAGAAATGTGATGAGGAAGCGTGGGCTGTATGCAAGGGTAAGTTTGTTGCTGTGCTTGATATAACTAATTAGGGCTATCAATCTACTTGTAAGCTGTTGTTTATAGCATCCTACTATGTATATAGCATAAAAGAACTGAGCATTTTGTAGCCTATACCAAGAACATGTGTAGATACTATTCTCATCTCTCTCTGTTTTTCTTTTCTTTTTCCAACCTCTTGTCCTTTGTTTTGCTTCATTCTGTTTTGTGTGCCCCTGACCTTGTGCTGAGAAAATTCCTCCCACTGCTAATTGTGAAGTGTTGTAGGTGAAAGATTTTACAGCTGCCAAAAACTACAGGTTTTCTAATGAAGGATCATATGGTGAACTAAGCTGTAACAGGTGTTTGTTTAATCAATCTCCTCTCTGCAGATTAAGCTGATACTGCTTTCATATCTCACAAAGTGTTGAGAGGGACATTTAATTAGTGTGCTTTAAAAATGGCATCTAGAGCTTATGGTGATTGTTTAGAAAATGCCTATTGCAACTATATATTTTCTTAAGATGTAAGCAGTTTTTCATTAAAAATCTGTCTTGTGAAGGTGCATATATGATGTGTCAGTTTGTCCATATTGTGCTATATGTCAGACATGAGATTCTGAGACTTCCATGAGTGAGACAAGTAAGCTGACAGACAGTTAAGACTCTTCCAGCTGTACTTTGTTTTCTGTCTGCTGATACATCGCATCAATGTTACTGGACATCTTGCCAGCTTGCACGAGCAGCGTTAGGTCACAAATGTCAATTTTGAAGAAAAAAGGAATTCTGCGGCATTGCATTAAGCTTGCAAAGGCCTTGAGGATGGACACGTTTACCTCATAACAGGGCTGGAAGAATACAACCACTAGGGGCTGTAGACTGCTCTAGTAATACAATGCATGAAAGCAGTGGTTTCAAAGCATTGGCAGTTTATCTGAAGTGAGTGGACAAGCCACTGTATGAAAATCAGAAGTTTCTATAAGAAATGTAGTTTTTCGGCAACTTATGTCTGAAATGCTAGTATGGCATATCATTATATATCAGCTCATGTCATGTTTGATATAATTCTTTTCTTAGGCTACAACATATTGCTTAATTTGGGCCAAAATATTTTAAATCTGGCGAGTCCTGTTAACTATTTCTCCCCAAAACACTCTAAGATATTGGACTCTTTTCCTAAATGATGGAAAGCTCATGCAAAAATACTTTGCAATAAATGAATTTCTCATCTGCTTCATCCCTGTATATGCTTTTCCACACTTTATGACTTTGTCAGTGTTATGCCTCTCTGCACTGCTCTCAACATGAGTAGGAGGAGTGTATGTGTGTGTGCAGTGTGTAAGAGAGGAAAGAAGAGGATATGGTGAATGTTTTACCAGGTCATTAATCAGCTGAAGGGTTCAGGCGAATATCATAAATCTCGACACCAAAGTTCAAGCCATTTATTATAGCATCTGTACCCTTAGATAGATTTATTAAATTGGTAATCCCTTTTTAATAATATATAGTAAAGATTTAGCATTGTTATGAAGATGAGAAAACCATTTTTAAAAATCTCTGACACAAGGACATTTCAATTATGTGTTTGCTGACATTAGAGTGGTCAATCTGTGATATTCTATCAAGAGAGAGGTGTTAGGATTACTGGCATTTTACTGCTTTTTAGGAACTAAGTAAATCATTTCTATATCAAGGGCCTCAAGCACTAAGGGTGCTGGCCCCAGCAGACTTTCATTTCCTATTCCTAATATACCCCAGTCTGCAAATCTCAACCACAACAAATACTGCTAGTAAAAAAGAAAAAAAAAACCCCACCCAACATGCTGTTTTGAAATTTCACCCTCTTTTGGGTTATAGGAGGGGCCAGCTGTTTCTAGTCATTATCTAAAATCCACAGGGAAGCTCTGCAAAGAGCACGTATCTGGTCAAGGACATTCTTTCCCAAATAGTATTGGAGAGCCTGAGGCTGCAAGATGGCTCCATCTTTTAAACCTGGTTAATGTAAGTGAGAGTTTGGCTTTGGAAGAATAAAGGGTGTTGGCAGAGAGAACAGACATTTAAGTGCTACCTTATATTTCTTTTTAAACAGAGAATTTTGATATGAAAAAAAATGAACTAACAAGACAAGGATTTATGGATTTGAATCTCATGGAAGCCAATGACCGTGAAGGGGATCCTAGTGACCTTTGGGTCACTTTATTGTCTCTGGGCTACAATAAAGCATTAGAAATGACCGAGGTATGATAGACATATAGCAAAAATAACTGCTTCACATACAGCTTGGTGCACATGTTTAACTGCAGTACTGTTTCTGTCTGTCATAAATTGATTTCAGTTGGTCAGTGATCCAGTCCAAACACTGTTAATACAGGGGTTACACTATGTCTTTCAGTCATCATGGTATCCTGTTTCTTAGGATAACACTGACATTGTTGAATGAGGAAATTTGCCTTTTGCTTTAGAGAAAGCCAGTATTTTGTGGGGTTGAAGAGGAAAGAATTTTGGGTTATTCCCTACTGAAAGAATTCATGCACCTTGCTGGTGGGAAGTGATAACAAGACAGTGATGATAAATTGTGACCAGTCAGCAAATCTACAAAATGCAGGACTTGCTCTGCTTAAAGTCACTTTCCTGGCCCAAGCCACAACAGAAGCAGATAAGATAACTTTTTTCCCCTGTGATTCAGAACTTGTAATTTTCAGGCATGGCTATTTCTGTTACTGTTGCCTTTCACAAGAGTATCTGAAGGTGTTCAACATAACATTTTAATGAAGGGGCTTTGGATGGCACACTGCTTACTTTACAGGGCCAGGGATTATTTCTCTGATGTTTCTGTGTGCGTATAGATTTTTTTTTTTTAAATTTATTTTATTTTTACGGAAACAGTATCAGTGTTAGTCTTTATAATTCTCACTAAAGAAAGAGGATCTCTTTAATGAAGAGAAAAAAATTATGAAAAACTAAAGAAAACATTAAATGTGCAGATAATTTAATAATTTATGTTTCATTCCCAAGAAAAGCTGATTTTTAAAAAATCTTAGTCTGATTATATTGTTTCTTTAAACTACAACAGGTCAGTGTAGTCACCATATAAAATATACGTATGTGAAGCAAATATATGCAGACCCAAAAACACTCAGTATAATTGAGAAACAGTTTTCTCTCAGTGAAAATCTTGAGATCATGGTGAATGATTTTTTTTTTTTTAAATGATGAGCACTTTCTCCTTTCCCTGCGAGTACGGTTAAGAGCAACTACAAACTGTCTTTCTGCATTTCAGACGTAAGAGGGAGCTATCCTCTAAGAAAGAAGATTTGGGGGAGGTTTTTATCAAGTTAGAAATTTCAAAAAGGTATTTTATGCCATATACTAGCTGTGGTTTATAGCTATAGCCTTTGCTTTCCAAAGGACAATGTAGCTCTCCGAACGCTTTAGTCATTCATCTAAAAATGTACATCTACTTAACTTGTGTCTGTAATTTAACCCTTTAATTCCTCAATTTCAGATGATTTAAGAGATTGATATTGCAGCAGCATTGACCCTCTAACAATTAAAGACAGAACTTGAGAAATCCTAGTGGATTCCAATAGCTGTTTGAAATAAACCAAACTGTTATTACTGAGTCTAAGAAAATGCAAACTTCTGGTTGTTACATGTACTAATCTTAGCCAAGATACTGTAAGAGCAGAGTGCTTAATGCAACACTGCAGATATTTTAAATCTGTGTGAAGTGGCAGAAATAGCAAGAGTGTGACAGGTAAAGGAGACACGTTTGTTTCAGACACACATTTCAGAAATACATTCATACTTCATGTTAATTCCTGTACGTTTTGCTATCCAAGGAAGAGTTTGCTATGTTGGAGCTGAATGCACCAAACTGTGTATTGACTGTACTGTGACTGGCCTGAAAAAACGTTTGTTTGTCCTGAGCTTTCATTTGGTTTAAAAGATTGCCACAGCTCTCAGGTTTTGCATATTGAATATTCAGTCACATACTTGTATTTGCGTAATTCTACTTTGGAGCATATATGAAAATATTTAGGAGCTGTGGATGAAAATCTGAGGGGGAAAAACTACAGATAAAGTGATGATAAAACTAATTTTCTCCATTGCAGGCATGCCCCTTTGTCATTGACATCTATGCAGAAAAATGCAAACCCAGAATTAAAGCCATATATCTGGAGGCAGGGAGCTGGCAACTAAACAAGGCTATTTGTAAGTCCGTTGTTAATAAAGGAGAGGCCAAAGTAATGGATGGCTGTGAAAACATAATTATCTATACCTACAAAGCGGGCAGGAGAATCACTTCTGTTATTGAAAATAAGGTATGGCATGACACTTCTGTAAGGTACTTTGTGTTAATGTCTGTTATTCCTCCCTCCTTGCATCATTTTTGAGAATTACATTTTCTGATATTTCTGATACCAAGTTTCTGTATGTAATTCACTAAAAAAAAAAAGTGCCTGATGCAAAGCTCTTTTTGACATATGACTCAGACTTCAAAAGAGTCTGTTGGAAGGGACATCTTACTACAATGAGGCAAGCAGTTTTAATTATCATATAGAATCTGAATATTTGTTTGTGTTCAGATTCCAATTTTTCAATATTTTGATGATTATTGGAGACATAAGATGTTCATAATGCCAGAAAACAAATACTCAAAACAGGAAATACAATGACAGAAGGACCAAAGGCTACAGCATTTATACTACTTAACATTTTCAGTGTGTGGAAGAAAGTAAAAGAGCAGTGATTTGCATTGATTGTATTTTAGAAGCATATTATGGATTAATTGTTAACTGGCTAGTCTTACAAGTCTACTTTATTGCTAATCCAAGCTAAGAATTGTAAATCCTAGCAAAAGTGGTTGGTGAGAATCAGAGATTGTGAATTTTTTTGCATAGATCGTAATGAATGTGCTGTTCATTCGGAGTTTCATTTATATCAGGAACTCTGAGTAAATAACTACAGTGCAGTAAGATGCTAAACCTAAGATGCTTTAAATATTAAAAGATCACAGCAACAAGTATATTTTTAAATGGACAAACAAGCAAAAGGGGGTGGGTCGGTGGACTAATATTAGGACTGAATGCAGAGGCTCCTTGGAACTACGGGTTTAGATCTGCACTTCGCCCTTTAGGGTAGATATACTGGAGTTATTTATATGTTTGGGGATATGTCAGAGAAGGAGATGAGGTCTGTACTGAGGCAACTGGATGCTGTCTGATCACTGACTACTGCCATTTATACCATTTGGGTTTCATAAATACCACTGTTCTGTGTTAGAGCAAATAGTTGCACTTTCCTGAAAATCTCATTAGAATTTGTAGGCTGGAGACTTTTTTGTATTGTAAATGTCTGGAAAGAAATCATAAAAATGCAATTTTATGCATCTTCCTTCTTCTAAGCTTCCTGCACTGCAAGCAGTCTGATTATAGTCTTCAGTTATTGTACTGATGATTTCAATAGAAATAATTGTTTCTTTGTTATTTCTGTAATTAAATTAAGGAAATATGCTAGTTCCTGAGGGATTCTGTTTTAGTCTTGCATATGTATTTAATCAGTGGGCAGAGAAAGGTGTCTGTCTTTTAACACTCCCTAGTCAGGGTGCGAGCTGGGGAGATGAAAAGACTTTGCATATACACAGCTTCAAATTTCTCGGAGTAAGGAGTACCAAATCTATTGTCTGCCTATTTGTGTGCTGAAAGAAATAGTTAATGAGGCATTTCCTATCATCCAAAGAACAGACTTACTATAATATACCCTCTGTGCTAGGTGAATCTCTGTGACCTTCTTCCTGTTTCAGGAAGATACTTAGGAAACAGATAATTCTTTTGTTGCCCTTTATCTCACTGCCATGGAGAAATGAGGGCTTCACCAAAGTGATTCCAGAACAGACAGATCAAAGTCATAAGCAGCTTAACACAATCTAGTGTTTATGTTTCTGCAACAATACCATATTTCAAGAATTACCATATTTACACTGCTGTCCACAAATGCTTTGTACTGTGAGCACCAGAGACAACTTTTTTGGGCAGTCAGTCCTCACCAGTCTGATAGTAGCTACTTTGCTGCGTAAGGCTGATTGTGTAAAGTAACCGTGTTTCTATTCAGTTTCTCAATACAGAGAGAATGTTGGATAGCATTGTCTAGGAATCAAACCTTTCCTAACGCCTAGAGACAGCTGAATAGCAGGGTGTATAGTATGTCCTTAGGTCTTGTGTCTGAGTATTGCCTGGGATAGACTGGTGGTTAATGAATTTTCCATTACCCAAGCTTTCAGTTTTGTATCTTGGATTCTTCTTGGAAACATTTGCACAGCAAGAACGTCTGTTTTTTAAGTGATTATACTTACATTAATTTTCTCAAATATTTTTTTAAATCTCTATTAAGGCTACCTGTTTTTTTCAAAAGAAAGTTTGAAACAAACCATGTGCAGCAGATTGGGATAGGTCGCATCTTAATGAGTGTCTCTTACAAGCACCTTTGTGAGATGTATCTTTGATTTGTGAGGAATCCTGGTCATTTATTATGAAAGGAAACTGAATATGAAGGATGCTCCTACTGCTTACATTGGGCATTTAACTTCAGTCGTTAGGAGCCTAGTTTCCACTGAATCCCTGCATGGTTGGTGAGAATTTAAGAACATGTAATATGAGCTCCTGAGGAAATGGCCTTTTACTGGAGGGATAGGATTTTTGAAAATCAGAATGGCCATAAAATGACAGATAAAGATTCTTCTGGGTCTGTATCCTGTCTCCATAAATGGCCTGTAGGGGATGTTCCAAGTACAGAAATTGGGCAAGCATCCAGTGACACTTTTAAGGATTGCCATCCTAGTGATTTGCTGTTCAAGGATTACTTGAGTGAGAAATATTTAATTTGTACTTAAAATCCCTTTATGTATTTTTCTAGTATAAATTTGCCCAGTCACCTTTTGAAGCTATGTAAACTGTTAGCATCAGTAATGTTCTGTGGCAAATAGTCCTCTCACTCAATCGTGTTCCCAAGTTGCGTCTTCAAAAGTGCTTAAGTTATTTCAACGAGTCTTATATTATGTTTGACAATGGATCTGGGCTCTGATGGTGCTAAGGTACATTTGAAATTTTTACTCTTCAAAGAGAACAGACATCAGCATAGTTAAGCATTTCTATCTTGTAAAATAGCAAAGTCAGAGGAAGTAAGAGGAATGTGTAGGTGTTACATAAAGAACAGACACTTGACCATTAAGACTAATAGGTTCCTTCATATTTTTTCACTTGCAGTCTGAAAACAAAGTGATTATTCATGTCAACAATGAGCAGAGCAAGAACTGCCTAAGTAATAGGGGACTTACTGTTTTTGCTGTAGAAGTGGCACCAAAGTCCATGATGGTAAGATTTTTATTGTTTAGCCAATTTAAAATCTAAGCAAAAAGGAAATCTCATTTAACATCTTTAGGTATCTATAGCCTGATCCTGTAAGGGTTTTATTAATTTTAATTTTGGCTTCATTCAGTATAAGCTGTAGGCTTAGTGCCCCTTACGGCTATTTTGCTGTCATGCAGTTAAATTTAACAGTAAGTTTTGAATACCAGCTGTCATTATAGATGCTGAATGTTCATCATTTAGTGATATAAGTACTGAAAGAGTTCATTTTGCTTACATAGCACTTTAGGTAACATACACGCAGTTCTACAATAAACAGCTATTTCACCTCTGTTTTCTCTCTTGTATACAGGTTTCTCAGCATGTGATGCCACTGAACGAGCAGGAAGAATGGCTTTATAATTGTGTACATTCCCTCTTATGTTAAACATCCTAGTTAGAGAACTGTTTCTTGATAGCATTCAGGCTAAACCAGGAAATTTTTTTTGCATCTTCTAGGCAATTTCTACTCTTGTCCTTCTCAAAAAGCTGGTATATGCTTATACTTCACACAGCTTGATTTGTTAAAGCAAATGAATCACAGAAGTACTTACTTATTTCTGGTATCGCACTTCTGCTAATGGCTTTTCAGAAACATGTATAGCGATAGCTTAGGGATGGAATAACTGTAAGTATGTAAAATCCTTTGACAGGGTAGAGCATTCATCACATACGGTCTAATGAAAGACATGCACATGAAAACATTGAGACACCATAAAAATTAGTGCTGTTCAGTAATATAGCTGACAGTTGTAATACGATTGTGTTTTATTAAGGCTAGTTTCCCTAAACATGCTCTTGTTTTCAACAACATGTAATATAGTTCCATCACATGCTGGAACTGCTTTGCTGAGGAGAAACTTACTTTGTTAAACGGGTCTGATGGATTCCTAATTAAACATTCTTGTGGTTTTGATGTGAGAAGCATAAAGGGGTGGGGTTGATGATTTTATTTTGTCACCTGATAAAGTGTTTTTTAATTCTTAATTTTTAAATTTTTTTTAGTTGTTTGATAATACTGATTTTATAGTTGTTCTGAATAATTACTGACTGGTTTTATACTCTTTTATATAAAATAAAGTCTGCCTTCTCTTATGTGATAAGGAAATAACATTATTTGAGGAAAATGAAGGTTTTGTTTTAGGCTCCTGACTGTTAACAGCAATTAGTTATTTCCAGGGGAGCTGAAATAAGGAACTAAAGTCCACTACGTTTAAGCTTCAATAGCAATGAAAAACAACTTTGAGGTACTAAAAATATACAGCCTATTATGTTTTTCTAGTTCTTTTAAATGTTGGTTAATGTGGGAAAAAATTATGACCCTGGGTCACTGGATGCTTAAAAAGTGTCTCAGTTTAAAATAGACGTTAAATGTATGTGACCTCATCTGCAAGGGCAAGCAAGTAGTCCTGAAAAGCTATATTTATCTGCCGGCAACTCCTGCACTCTGCTGTTACTCTGCTGTAACCGTACACCGGGCAAGTAAATGTCAGTTACAAAATGCGAGCTCTGCTAGAGGCCGGCTGTGATTTCACACACTTCAGCAATTGGTGCTCAGGCAGCCTTACTGGTGATCTTTCTGGTTTCTTTTTTTTCTTAGCAAGTACAGCAGGTACCGGTTTCATTTTCAGAATTGTCTAAAAGAAGTTGTATTAAGAGGCCCCACAAATATTTGGTAATTTCTAGCAAACAGCTGAGCTCTGTAAAATGCTGCCTCAGGCAAGGTGTGGGTACCTCAGAAGTTCCTAGCTGCATCTCTAAGGAGCTGGGAAGTCATGAGATGCTCTGCGTGTACAGGAGACGGCACAAAGCGAGCACTCCATTATTTGCATTTCTTTTGTTTCTAAAATCAGTCTCGTTAGATGTGGCAGGAATCTGTATGCTACTCTTTCTGCCTTTTAGGAAAGGCATGGTTAAAACTGAAAGTACTTAGCTGAGAAATCATTGCGTCTGAAAAGACTTGATTTTGCTGCAGGTTAGGGTCTTGTTAAACATGACACAGCAATAGAGTGTGGAACCTTTTTCCTTTTCTGATCCTCTTGCTGCTAGGAAGAGTTTCCTTATCTGACTCTTAAGTGGGAACATCGGCTAGCTCTCCGTGGTAGGTGCTACCTTTCCTGCCCTGGAGGAGATGAGAATAGAGATCTTGCTCCTGTCTGCGGAGTCATTTCCAGTTTGCTCTAAGCCCAGGTACCACCAGGATAGAAAAACGTCCCTTTTTAAGGCCGCACACAGGTGTCACCCCCCCCCCCCCCCCCCCTTTCTTAAT